GAAACGGAGTAGGGTACCGGTGCTTGAAAAAAGGTCAAGTGGATCAAACACGAAATATAACTCGTCGCTGCGTGGAACAACATCAAGGGGCCCAGGCAAAACAAGAAATAACTTTTCAGTTAGCATGGTCAGCACGAGGAGTGGCACCGAGAGCAAGACGCGAGAAGATGCGAGGGAAAAACAGGTGGAGCCTACAATCGAAATCGACCTAGAGACACCAGACCAGAGCGTAGATGAACTGGAGAAAAAGACGACGGAGTCAACTCCAATGCCCAATGCAGAAGAACCAAACCCGAAACCCATAGAGTTCTCACCAATAGACGATGTGGAAGATGCAATAGGCAACACCGAAGAAACGGTGAAAGAAGACTCTCAAGTAAAAAAGACATCTTTTACAGAAAGGTTGGCGATGATGGTCGGAATAAAAACGAAAGAGAACGTGACTGAAGAACCAAAAGCTGAAAGAGCACGAACATTTGGAACAGTGAGCACGAAGACGAGAGAAGCCAATCCGAGAGAGGAACAAACTAAAGCAGAAGCAACGGCCGAAGAAAGAACAACGGCTGACCATGAAGAGGCTACTCTTGAGCTAGGTGACTTGATGGCAAAACTGAATCAGATCGACAAAAAGCTAAAGCACAGCGAAGAGGACAGAGAAGTGATAAGAAAAGAATTAAGATACAACAAACACGAGTATCTGGATAGTTATTTTAACCTGGCTAAGGCAACAGACGAGAGACTCAAGGAGATGACAGATAAGGTAGAAGCCACCAATAAAGAACGAGAAGGGAACATCAAAAAAGATTTGCAAAAGTTGAAAAACCGATATGATGATGTCAACAGCCAAATAGGTAGCCTGGAAAAGAGGCTGGACACAATGAGCAAGAATCAGGCCGAAAGTTCATGTGCAATACAGACGAAATTGGATGCAATCTTGAGAAATTCTACCTCACAAGAAAGACCGGCAGCGGATCGCACGCAAGGCACCAGAGTTGACTTTGTGGAACCACAAAGGGGCAAACGGCAATGAACTGGAGAAAAAGACGACGGAGTCAACTCCAATGCCCAATGCAGAAGAACCAAACCCGAAACCCATAGAGTTCTCACCAATAGACAATGTGGAAGATGCAATAAGCAACACCGAAGAAACGGTGAAAGAAGACTCTCATGTAGAAAAGACATCTTTTACAGAAAGGTTGGCGATGTGTGCCAGTCGGTCATATTTGGAAGTTTGACCTTGAGAGAAGCAAAAAACACTTAATTTTGGAGTGAAATTTAATTTTTCAAAATTTCGAATGGAACCTGTCATGCACGATTTTCTCGCGATAACTGAAAATCAGAAAAGAGAAGAGAACGATCGAGTGACAATCGCGGGAAAGTTGCTAGAAAAATCAGTGGGAAATTGCTATTCGCAATTTCAGTAGCAATAATAATCGAGAGTAGAGCTGTCCCATCTAAAACAGAGACGAGCGCATTCCCACGAACTGGATTGTTGTGATTGGAGTATTATTCTAAACTGGACTAGAGTGAACCTTCGGTGGAAAGGTGGACAGCTAGAGTGTCCCAATGGTTCACGAGAACTTACAGTCTAGAGTAAAAACTTGTTCTTGTTATTAAAACTGACTAACATTAAACTCATTTAAGTTACTTTATTGATTCTTGAGTTGCACACCGACTTATTTACTTCCTGATTCTTGAGCGTGCTACAATGTGAGTACTAATTTAAATTTCTAGAGTGTGTTTTACAATTGTTATGTTGAGGTAAGGCGAGTTTTAGGTTGATCCATCTGAAATGGATCAAAGTTCCACTGTCTAATAAAAAGTAACTTAACGGATTGTTCCGACCCGGTTTTTAATGGCGTTCATGTATTTTGGGTATCTAGAGACCTAAGTATGGGGACGTTTCTAATTCTAGAGTGGGGGGATATTTTAGTAGTAGCCTTTAAGCTGTAACGGGTCGTAGTCTCATGTCACAAGCGAACCGAATTGGCTCCGACTGATTTGAGGTACAAAAACACAAGAGATAGTGTCCCTGACTCTTGAGCCAATGGTTATAGGGCCTATTTTTCTTAAGCCTCATGTGTGACTGCAGTAGACGAATGTTACATAGTGTTTTTATGGCGCTCCTGGGTGTTTACGACATCAAGACTACGGAGTCGAACCCACTTGAGACAGCTTCGGGCTGAATGCCCATTCTAGAGTACCGGCGGTACGGTTCGACAGGAACGTGCAAACCTTCCGGTTGTACCGTGATAGCTTTTTAAGAAAACTCAAGAAAACTTCCTGGTACGCTCTCCGAACGAGGCTTAGCTAACCGAGTAAAGGGGGGCAACTAGGGGGACAAAAAGACGAGCAAAAAGACAAAAAGCGAAACAAAAACCATAAAACGAAAAAAGACAGTGACTTTGACACCAGATTAGTTGGATCAAACCTTTATATTAATTAAATAGTATACCCATACTGTTTTACAAGTTCCATCGTTTCGATCAACCTAGTAATTTAATCCAGTAACCTTAATAAAGAGCCCGAGTGTGGGGCGTTGTCAAGGGTTTTCAGATAGCTTGGAACTTAGCTGAACCAATAGGAGACTTGACTGGAAGAGGTGACCAGCCGAGTGGGAAAGTGGTTCAGGAGCACTTGAGCTGAACCAATTGGAGACTTGACTGGAAGAGGTGACCAGCCGAGTGGGAAAGCGGTTCAGGAGCACTTGAGCTGAACCAAGTGGAGACTTGACTGGAAGAGGTGACCAGCCGAGTGGGAAAGCGGTTCAGGAGCACTTGAGCTGAACCAATAGGAGACTGGACTGGAAGAGGTGACCAGTCGAGTGGGAAAGTAGCCAAGAAGGATTTGGCAGTTCTCGAGTTCTCAAGTTGAGCAGAACGGGTATCGTTGAAATTCACATTACATTATAGGAAACAAGTGTAAAATTGGATAAGCGATATCCCCCGGTTTTGAGAAACGTTTTTACTTGAGCAGGCCTGGAGACAGGTCTACGGTTTTCTCTTGAGAGGTTTAGCACCCGGCGCTTAAGGTGATTTTAGGCTTAAGAAGGGGGGCTAAAAAGGGGGGAGGTTAGAAGGGGGGCTGGTTAAGTTAGAGGTTGGCGGTTGTAAATTGTAAAAAGGAGAGAAATTAGAGTAAC